CAATTTGATATAAAATCAATATAACTAAGATAAGGATGCCAGGAGCATAACATCCGAAGCTTTAATTTCCTTGTCTTGTCTTGTTTCCTTGTCCACTACCTTTTCTCTCAAAACTGACTGGCTGTTACATGATTGTTTTTTGCTAGCACTTGTGTTTCTTTAATCTGTTTCTTTTGCCATTACTTTTAATGGGTGTCCTACTTTTTGCTGTCTTGGATTTTGAAAGACATTGTATCCATTTGCTTCTTGCCTTGGATATTTTGTGAAGTTCTTTGTAATGGCTGTTCGGAAAGGTGCAATATAAATACAGATATTATTATTATTCAAATAATTATTTAACTTGTTTATTAAAAACTCTGGAACTTCTGTGTGCAATATGTTATGTCCCCAGGTTACATTATGGCAGCCTGCCCTCATGTACAGTGCATAGTAACAGATCATTTCTCATTGTATGTTGAAGCCCCACTAAGATCACCCTGATCGGGGCGGTGCTGTTCACTCTGCAGCAGACCCACTACCTGCCTCTGCAGAAGCACCACCTGATGCTTCTCTACACCGCCTTCACCGTCGTCAACAAGGTCAGTCGGCTGCGTCCGTGTCGCTCGCGCATGACACCACTCATACATTCTCTGCTTGTTAATGGAATCTCAGGGACACCACTCTGGCATCACAAATGTTTTGCTGCAATAGCTCGCTCCACATCTGCGATGGCCTGTCTTCTAAATGACCTTTCTCCCTCTGCCCTTTTTTTTGAAGTTTTAGCTGCGGTGACTCACATTAGCTCAGTATTACCCGTAGGGCTGGTGCTTTTGCATCATTTTCATCAGCTTGCATCATTCCCTCTTCTCATCTCTGGGAAACTTGTGCTCTTGACTGAGACACAGATAAATCTACCATGTCTTCTTTCAACTCTCGTTCTGTTTCGCTGCCTCTGTCTCTGATCTGTCAAATTAACACAGAACCGTTTCATCAGATTCAGAAGTGTCCAACCTGTGATTTGTTATGTTGTGCTTCTGATGATGCAGATATTATACACTCGCTGCCTTATGATAAATACATATGTTATTCACTTACTTTGTGCTTGTATATAAACCAAGCATTGAATAATAGATCTGATGACATGAAAAATAGTAGAAGTGCCCTCTTTATCATTGTATTGCATATACAGTGTACATGTGTCATTATCTGGATCTGCACCAGAGCTCACCTATTGTTAGATAAAAGCACTGTACACGTCTGATTTTTTGCATAAAGGGCAAATACCCAAGATGGTGGTGTTTGTATCAGGAGATCTTGGGTTCATCTCTGGTAAGTGGAAGGAAGTGGAGACTCAGCGTCCAAAACATTTTCGATGAGAGTGGTGAGAGTAAAGCAGTCAACCAGAAAACCCAGAGTGAACTTAAAGTCATTAAACTCTTTGGTTTCAGGTGATTATTTTCTTTGGGTTCATCCCAAAAAGGGACAAAGAGTGATGTGATCCATTGTTGAGATAAAAAGACAGATTTAAAAGTGATAAGACAGACAAATACATGTCTTATACACTTAACAGACGTCTCTCTCATCCGTCTCTTCTTATGTTCCCGTCATTACACGTTTATTTTCTCTCTTATTTCAGACGAGGATGATGCTGACCGGGTCCAACGTTTCGCCGTTTGCTGTCATCGAATCAGCCGTTTACAAGACCCTCTTCACGGGCTACTCCCCTTACGCCGCCCTCACTGGCGAGGAGCAGAAAACATGTATAGATACCAGCAGGACAAGTGGGACGTCGTCCTCCCTCGCCAAAACCAAAGAGTCCAATGGGAAGGGAGCAGCAGGGAAACGCACCCCGGCTCCACAAAGTGAATCACTCGAAGCCAAAAAGGAATCAGAGAACACGGAGACGACAAACTGCAAGAAGATGAACTAGTCAGCCTCTGCCCCGTAGCACCTTTTCACCTCTACGCTGGGTGGTGGAGTCACTTCTGATTCAACATTTTCTCATCTGTTTTTCTTTTTAGCAAAAAAAAAAAAGAGTTTTCATTCCATTTTTTTCTATTCATTTCATTTATTTTACTTCTAATTTAAATCCAACTGATGAAGAAGTGACTCCAACCAACCCTGTACCTTATTCTGGGACAATCACCCCATCCTTAAAAGTACTGTGATACTTCTGCTGTTCGATATGAACAACACACTGTCCTCGGGCTTATTGCACACTCGCAGTACAAATGTGTAGCTTGTTTTTAATCTATATTTATAATGAGAGGAAACTGTTGATTGTATCTCTGGGTTTTGGGAACAGTGCTGTGCACCTGCTGATCTAAGAATGTCTCCATCTTTCTGTGTGCTTCATTGAAACGCTATATTTCCTACACTGAAATATTTTTAAAAGAGAGATTATATTCTATAACACTCAGATATTTAATTCTATTTATACAAAATAAGTATGATTGCACTTGAATCTATAAGAAGTTTGAAATTGAACATTGTTTCCTTGGTGAATGCTTTGAATTACATCTGAAAGCATGACAATAAACAGGTTTAAATGCGGTAAATAGAGTTTCCTTGTGTTAATTACCCTCCAGCATTATCAGACACATTTGTACAGTTCAGTGAACACAGGGCTCCAGCTTAAAAAAAGATAATTAGCCACATTTTTAAAAAAGAAAGCTGCCCATTAATTCAGACTCAAACATCATGTTGCTCTTTTAGCACATTTGTCCACGGTATCATGTGGCTAAGAATAATTGAATATCAGATGCTTTTGATCTGATAGAAAGTAGCATGGCGTCCACAAGTAACCTCCTTTAAAAGACTGAAAGATTGCGTCAGTGTAACATCAGCACCTGATTGATACCTCACCCTCTTTAAAAGGCTGCTGGAGCGAGATCCGCCAAATCCCCTCAATTCTCGTCTATGCGAACCCTCAGACGGAGCAGAACCCCCCCCTGTGAATACAAATTACGAACGAGTGGATGGAAGAGAAAAAGAGAAGATGCTCAAAGATGATCAAAAGTGATACATGTTGAGATGATAGTGCTGGTTGTAATATGCCTGAAGTCAATAGATTTGAGATGCACGCATGTCAATTACAGTCTTGCATCGTGTTAGTGTGCGCTGATGTTTCTGACTCGTTGAACTGTGTGACCTGGAAAACTGAAAGGCACATTAACGAGCCGCTGTTTTCCCCCACACTGCCTCCCATGACAAGACGGCAGGTGACATGATGACAACTCAGGGCCTGAAAGTTCCCTGACACTTCTCTTAATGAGGTCCGGACCTGCATGACCCCCACCACAATTACTCAGTGAGCTGAGCAGCCCCCATACTGTCGAGCCCCACGCTACCTTTCACCTCGGCCCCTCGCTCCCCTGCGCTTCACCTGCCCTATAGCTCATCTCCTCAGCCCCTCTCTTCATCCTCCAAGACTTCTGCCTCTTCCAGTTGTCAGGTGCAGAAATGTAATCCTTCGATGAGCATATAGACTTATTTTGTTCACATACACACATAGAATATACACAAAATGCATGCTACACTGCCTTGTGTTCCTATACACATGACTTTGAACCCATGGTGATTTCTAAGTAGAGGTCATAACTACACACATACACACACATTCCTATACACATGACTTAGAATCCACCGTGAGGAAGAGAGGTCAGGGACACACCAAGATGATGCTGTACCACCCATAAACAAATTCACAGCACACACACACACAAACACACACACACA